TACCCTTAAGTGATAAGGGTAGCCGAGAGGGTAGCCTACCCTCATTTTTTTTATTTTTGAAAAAAAAAAATTTTTTTTATTTGGCCTTAAAAAATACAAACAACTCTAAATTTTCACCGTTCTACCATCATCCCCTATTTTTTAATAGGGGTTGATTTTTTTTAAAGTTTCTTGTTACCATTTCCGAAACGGTTTTGCCGATTTTGATGAAATTTTATTATGTATATTGAGTAGGTCTGAAAATAGTTTGTTATCTATTTTTTATACCCTTAAGTGATAAGGGTAGCCCATTCTCATTTTTATATTTTGAAAAAATATATATTTTATTTTTTATTTTGCATTAAAAATACAAAGAACCCAAAATTTTCACCGTTCTACCATCATCCTCCCTATTTTTAATAGGGTTGTTTTTAATTTTTTGTTACCATCCGTGAAACGGCTTTGACCGATTTTGATAAAATTTTATATGTATATTCAGTACGTCTAAGAATAGGTTGTTATCTATTTTTATACCCTTATGTGGTAAGGGTAGCCCACCCTCATTTTTTTATTTTTTGAAAGAAAAAATGTTTTTATTTTAGTTGGCATTAATAAATACAAATAACCCTAAATTTTCACCGTTCCACCATCATCCCTATATTTTAATAGGGGTTGTTTTATTTTAATTTTTGTTACCATCTCCGAAACGGCTAGACCGATTTTGATAAAATTTTAATGTATATTCAGTAGGTCTGGTTTGGTTTGGTTTGGTCACAACCTATTCCTAGGTTGTTATCTATTTTTTATACCCCTAGGTGATAAGAGTGGGCCACCCCAACTTTTTTTTTATTTTTTAGACTAATTTTTTATTTTAATTGTTTTATAGGGAGTGCTTATTTTTTAGGGGGTGCATGTCCAAAATTTACTTCTGGGTACACACTTTCATCACTTAAGGGACCTCTGTACAAAATTGCATACTCCTAGTCCTAGAACGGATTTTACATAAAAATTATACAAATTTTTACCCTTAGTTTACCCCCCTTAAGGAATGAATTCCAAAAATCGCTCTAATTATTCAATTACGCTACATAATAAACCTCTGTGCAAATCATCATATATAATCATCATCATATTCCTTGAACAGAATTTATTGTTCCAGAACGTCCAACCCTTCATTTCACACCCTTAGAGGGCGAATTTCCAAAAATTGCTTCTTAGTGCTAAATTACGTTACATAAGGAACGTCTGCAAAATTCATACTTCTAAAACCGATTTTAACAAATTTTTGTACAAATTTTCGTCCCTTATTTTTTAGGGGATGCATGCCTAAAATTCGCTTCTAGGTACTCACTTTCATCATTTAAGGGACCTCTGAACAGAATTTCATACTCCTACTCCTAGAACGGATTTTAGATAAAAAAATTATACAAATTTTCACCCCTAGTTTTACCCCCTTAAGGAACGAATTCCAAAAATCACTCTAATTATTCAATTACGCTACATAAGGAACCTCTGTGCAAATTCTCATATTCCTTGAACAGAATTTATTGTTCCAGAACGTTCAACCCCTCATTTCACACCCTTAGAGGGGCGAATTTTCAAAATTGCTTCTTAATGCTAAATTACGTTACATAAGGAACGTCTGCAAAATTCATACTTCTAAAACCGATTTTAACCTTTGTACAAATTTTCATCCCTTATTTCTAAGGGATGAATGTCAAAATAGCTTCTAGGTACTCACTTTCGTCACTTAAGGAAACTCTGTACAAAATTTCATACTCCTAGAACTAACACTTTTTGTACAAAATTTCACCCCCCAGTTTCACTACCCTTAGGCTATACATTTCCAAAAATCGCTTATCAATGTTCAAATGCGCCACATCTGTGCAAAAGTTCATACTCCTACTAGGTACAGATTTTTTTTTTGTATAATTACATCCCTTTATCTAATTACACCCCCTTATGGGTCGAATTTTAAAAAATTACTTAGTAGTGCTCATCTTAGAGAACGAATTAATATTCTCCGTATTTACTCCAGTTTCCTAATACTAGGACAGATAACACATAATCATACTAGTTAATTTTTTATTGGAATAGAAGTAATTTTTATTAGAAGGTACAAAAATTAAAAATCTAAAATTTTATTTTCATAGCTACGTTTTTTCATAGCCTTAGGATGCCTCATGTACTATCGAATATACGAAATATATAATCAATACATATTTCTTTAAATATCGAGAAATAAAATATGTTTGGCAACACCGTACGAAATATCGCCGCGCGTAGTCCTCAAAATTTAAAATATTAGCATTTTCAGGCTTCGATTATGTTCAAAAGCGCCACCGTATGACAAATCACTAAAGCTTCCACACGAGAGTTCTTAAAACTATAATATTCTTTGGTAATAGATATTTACGATACAATTGAGTTAACTCGCGTGTATTGTAAAATATTTTATCTACGTCTAACTATAAAAACACAAAATGAATTTTAAAAATTATTGTACTTTACTATATACCTATCCTAAAACTCAATTACCTTAATACCTTGGTTCAAATAACACCATACATGGCAATGTCAATATGACAGTAAATAATATTGATGTCGCTAGTTTAAAAAATGAGCGATTTGGAAAATATTCTCTCTGACATTGAAGAAGAGTCATTCAGAGCCATTTCTGGATTGCTCCCAGCAAGATCGAAACAGAAGTTCATATTTCTGTCCAGAAATGGCTCTGAATGACTCTTCTTCAATGTCAGAGGGAATATTTTCCGAATCGCTCATTTTTTAAACTAGTGACATCAATATTATTTACTGAGTATGTACCGGGTGTTCCACTAAGAATAGCTCTCGGCTGTATCTCGGAAAGTATTAGCCGTAGGGCTTACGGAAAAAAATATTTATAACTAAAGGGGCTGTTAGGAATTGCTGGAAATTATTTTCAAGTTTGTAAAACGGCCGTTAGGTGGCGCAACTGCTATGGAAAATAAGAAAATATATTTTTTACAGAATTTTGCCTAGATAATAGGTACTATAAATAATAGCTTCATAATCTTCAGTAAATTTTGGATTTTTTTTGTTAAAACCATTTTCCCCTATCTGCTAAAATAAAGTGGTGGGGGAAGGTTAGATCCATCTTTATTTAAATGTTAATAACTCCGGACTGGATGATCAGAATCCAACAAATGAGGGCTCGTTTTAAAGAGCATTTCTTACTCTATATTATACCATAATAATAATAATAATAATAAGGTTTTGAACGTAGACACTAAGGGGCGCTTTCTTACAATTTAACAAACATAGCGCGTTTTTTCAAAAAAATTAAATACGATAGTATGTGTTATTTTAGCTGATAATAAAGAGTAGTAAAAGCTTAAAAAGTCAGCGAAAACCGCATCTTGATATCTTCTTTCAAACCGATGATATTAGCAAAATTATAATAAATACCAAAAAATAAGCCCATAATTACCTTATTTTTACAATACAGTATCAGTAGCCCTCTTGATTAGGCCCATTCTAACAAAAAAATAAAATAGAAACAGTTAGTTTATTTTAAAATCGACGAAATACCAGAATACCATAATACCAGATGTATTAATGTCTAATAATTAAGATATTAATAAGCGTGAACAAGAAACGATGATTCAGTGAAGTCATGGTAGGCTTTGGAAAAAAGTTGCTTTTCTTGTAATAGTATAAACGTCAAATTGTTATTAGATCAACATTTTCATAGTCTTAGCAGCGTTTTTTTATCTTTTAAATGTTTTTTCAAAATGCCTTTATTATTTGAAGTAGTTGAAGTTGTTGGCATTTTGAAAAAGCAATCAAAAGATAAAAAACGCTGCTAAGATTATCAAAATGTTGATCTAATAACAATTTGATGTTTATACGTCAAAAGCAACTTTTTTCCAAAGCCTACCATGACTTCACTGAATCATCGTTTCTTGTTCACTATTATTAATATCTTAATTATTAGATATTAATACTACATCTGATATTATGATATTCTGGTATATCGTCGATTTTAAAATAAACTAACTGTTTCTATCTTATTTTTAGGTTAGAATGGGCATAATCAAGAGATTGATACCGTGTTGTAAAAATAAGGTAATTAAGAGCTTATTTTTTGGTATTTATTAAAATTTTGCTAATATCTTCGGTTTGAAAGAAGATATCAGAATGCGGTTTTCACTGACATTTTAAGTTTTTACTACTCTTTACTATCAGCTAACATTACATATACTATTGCATTTATTTTTTTTGAAAAACGCGCAATGTTTGTTAAATTGTAAGACAACGCCCCCTAGCGTGTACGTTCAAAAGCTTATTATTATTGTTTATATGATACAATATAGAGTAAGAAACTCTCTTTTAAACGAGCCCTCGCTTGTTGGATTCCGATCATCCAGTCCAGAGTTATTAATATTCAAATAAAAAAAGATCTAACCTTACCCCACCACTTTATTTTGGTAGATAGGGGAAAATGGTTCTAACAAAAAATATTCAAAATTTACTGAAGATTATGAAGCTGTTACTTATAGTACACCTTATCCAGGCAAAATTGTGTAAAAACTCCATTTTCTTAGTTTTTGTTGCAGTTGCGGTCGTTCTACAAACTTGAAAATAATTTCCAGCAATTTCCCATAGCCTCTTTAGTTATAAATATTGTTTTTCCGCAGCCGCTACGGCTAATACTTTCCGAGATACAGCCGAGAGCTATTCTTAGTGGGACACCCTGTAGGTAGCTATATGCCTATCCTAAAACTTAATTACCTTAATACCTTGGCAATGTCAATATGACAGTAAACAATATTGATGTCGCTAGTTTAAAAAATGAGCGATTCGGAAAATATTCCCTCTGACATTGAAGAAGAGTCATTCATAAACTAGTGACATCAATATTATTTACTTAAGAGCTTCTTAACTCACTGATAGTAGATAAACAATATTTTTTCAGTTCTCATTTTAAGTAATTTTGTTAACTTCAAATATCTGTTAAAATCCTTATAAATAGCACCTACCTTCTATAGCTAAGAATATCACAGAGCCTATCAACGTATATCCGAAGAGCAGCACACATATACCCAAGTTTGTCGCTAATCCAGCCAGGAAAGCTTTTCCTTTTCGCTTGGTCTTTTTCCCCAGACAATTGCACGAACTCTCCGAGGATTTTTGCTGAGATTTAGACGAGTTCTCTATTCTTAATGAGTTCGTATTGCTCGGGTTAGATTTCGTAACTGCTGGATACGGCTCGTAACAGAAATGCCCTGCAAATGTAAAATCCAAAGTTACTACCAGAGATTTATTCCAAATAGAATTTGTGCTGAAGTTATTTATTATTTAATGTATTTGTACAGTGCAATACGTTTCAAGAATTAATTCTAATTCTTTTTTACTAGCATATTTAAAACATGGATAAAATTATTTGTTTAAAAGTGACTTTTCGTATGATTTTAAAATAAGTGGTAACATTGTATCAGTGGCGGCTCGTGGTTATTATTGTAGGGAGGTCAATATCTAAAAATATTGCGTCGATTTTTTTTAAGACGCGCCCAAATTTAATTGGTTTCTTACCAGGTACTTGTACGTTTAGTTAAAGGAAAATAAATCTAAAAATAAATACAAATTATGTTAAAATGAAACCTACCCTTCCATTTTTAAACAGGTGGTCTAGTGCCATTTAACTAAAAATCCAGTCAATGTTCTTTGCACAAATTTTCCACGGTAGGATTTAAAAGACGCTTAAATAATAATGTCACAAAAATATAAATACATATATATGTTACGGTTAAGGTCCGATATCCGGTTAATGTCGACATTACCCGGTTAATCTCGAGAATAACACACAACAAAACAACCAAAAACATAACCTAACCCAAACATTAACATGTTAATGTCGACATTAACCGGACATCGGACTTTAACCGTAACATATACACATACATATTTCTAAAAGTTTTATTTCACATTTTTTTTATATTTTAAGTCAATTAATTTCTCTATACGTTTTTCGAAATTTAAGCAATTGTTTTCTTCTAATTGCACGATTTTACAAACTAAACACCATATGTTGTCTATTTGAAAATATCTATTCCAGAATCAGTCAACAAGAGTTCATCATTTATCCAGAACCAGAAAATTATGAATTATTACCTACACAAATTTCGCACTGCATCTCAAGCCCTCGGCTACGGCAACTAAAACTAAAATTTCTTTCGATATTAAAAATTTATACGCGATACGCGATAAATGATCCAAAAACCTAGATTGTTTTATAATTTGAGTTTTTATAAACACACAAACTGCCCAAACGACGAAATTTTTCCGACTGCGATATGACTGAAATCCTGTAATATATTTATATAGAAATAATGCACTCGATATTTTTTAATCAACTATATTGATTCGCAACTAAAAACAGTATTACAAATTACAATAATAACACTTTGGTTTCTAGACAAAGACAAAAACCGCCACTTTTTATATCGTCTGTCGGTAAACTACCAAATACAAGTGTATATAAAGTTGCCTACCTTACAAATCATTTTATGAATGACGCGGTCATTGGCCAATATAAACTATGTCTATCGCACCTTAACCCATTATATTTTCTATACGTAGTATACCTTACCTTAATTACCTTAAGTTTAATACGTGTAAGGCTAAGAACATAGTGGAGCGGCGAGGATAGCGGCGAGCAAGCAGCGCGATAAACGCGTCGAGCAAGCCTCGAGGTGCTGAAACATAGTAGAGCGGCGAGGAATAGCGAGATACTTGTGCAATTTTATTATTTTCATTTGCTTATTGATAATTTAAAATGTTAACAGTATCTAAAATTTTGGGCAGTAGTGTCGCAAACATTTGGTTAGATGAAGTTTTCAAAAACCCGAGAAAGTATGGCAAGTTTTATAACCTTTACGAAAATTTGTTGCCACTTCATCTCATAACTTATCTAAAATGTACCGGTTATGGTGATTACTACTTTCTGACCCCATAAAATCTCTCTCACAAACACTAAATCTATTAATATTTAGGAATCCATCGTTTTTTTGAATCGATCTCGCCGCTCGATCTAACCGCTCGAACAGATCGCTTTACTATGTTCGCACGTACTTGTCTTCACAGGTTTGTTTTGGACGCGACGTCGCGCTGCTTGCTCGCCGCTCTCCTCGTCGCTCCGCTATGTTCTCAGCAGGCTAACCGGCGAGTCTAAGAGAGTTTTGATTGGACAAAAAGATAGTAATCACCATAACCGCTATATTTTAGATATGTTATCTCTCCGGGGTTTGAAAATTTCATGTTGTAGTGTACAAATTTCATGTACACAACATCTTTTACTTTGTTGGTTTCGAATAAACCAAATGTTTGCGACACTACTGTCCCGAATTTTAGCTGCTGCTAACATTTTAAATAATAAATAAGCAAATGAAACTAATAAAATTGCAAGTACCTCGCTATTCCTCGCCGCTCTACTATATTTTAGCACCTCGAGGCTCGATCGACGCGATATCGCGCTGCTTGCTCCCCGCTCTCCTCGTCGTGCCACTATGTTTTTGGCTTAAAACATAGCGGGAACGAAGGACAAAATGAAATTTTGACCGGTATTAGAGAAAATGCGTAAAATAAAATGTTTTCAAGCGAAAATTGGATAAATTGGGAATAGTTTTGACTATTTTAGGATGAAAAAAAGGGATTTGCAAAAAGTATAATTTAAATAAGTTTTTTTTTCATTTTCTCCTGATTTTTTTTTGGGGGGGGGGCATTGACCATTTGACCTCATGGTTAAGCCGCCACTGCATTGTATTAATACAGTTTGATAAATTAATTCAAGGAATAACACAGAAATAGACTAAAAGAGGCAATTCAAGTTGAGTGTCGATCTGTGATATAAAAAAGACTTTTTAAGTGGGTTTCGACATAAAAAGGCAAAGTCAAAGTCCCTTCTGAAATGTCAAATCTATTAATATTCAAGAAATTCATCAAAGAAGCGTTTACAATACCATTGGCCGTTGTCTTCTTGATAAAGCTTATCTAATTTAACCAGGGAGATTGGAAGATAATTGACTCTTCCAGTAGGACACCACTTAAGATTTTTTATATGTTTTATCTATTTTTATTATACTTAATTATATGCGAGACCAATTATGTGTTTTTAATGATATTTGACTACTATAAGACTACAGTTGGTGGTTGGAACCTTTGGTGTTACACAGCAAAATAAAACACTAAATCACAACAATACACCAAAACACTTTTACTTTTACACTGGACGCGCGTTTCGCTAACCATGTTAGCATCATCAGCGAGATAAGATTAAGCTAAACTACAATCTACGATTTGAGCGTTTATATACTCGCTCAGTGGGCACCGAGTGGGCGTGGCAAGATCTAGCTAACCGAGTCAGAGCCCACCGAGCGTAACAGTTAGATTTCCGCCACTAGAGTAGTAGGAACAAAGAACTTGAAGGAATTGGACCGTTGTCTCTGTTCAAACTATATTTACATTTATTAATTCTGATCCTTTCTAATTGCCTGTAATTTGAGACTTGTTTAATTAATTTTAAATTATTAAGATCTATACAATGTTCTTTATCAGCAGTATGTTCGGCAACGCAAGATTTATCCGGTGTACCATATCTTATCTGAGCTAAATGTCCTTTAAATCTAGTTAATATCGATCTTCTAGTTTGCTTAACATATTTCTGATTACAATCTTTACAAGAAATTTCATAAATACCCGACCTTTCCAGTGGAGGTGTTTTATCCTTTGGATTACCTAATAATTGTTGTAATTTATTATTACAACAATTATTAGCACTATACACAAGTTTATAATTGATATTCTTAAAAATTCCTATTAGACCACGGGATAACTCTGTATCAAACGATATTGAAAAAAATTTTGACGTATCTTTTTCCACTTGAAAAGTCGAATTTTCAGAAATAATTAACCGATACATACGTCTTCTAGTTATTTTATCAACTAGTGAAGGAGAATATCCATTAGACTCAGCTACATTCCTAATGTAATCTCTTTCTATTTCATATATTTCGTCGGAAAGTGGAAAACAAAGTAATCTATGAACTAAGAAATTTAAACTAGCCATTTTATGTTTAACACTATGATATGATTCATTAGGAATATATCTGCGTGTAGTGGTATTTTTCCTATAGATATCAAATTCCAGGCAATTATTAGTATTTCTAATAACTAATACATCTAAAAATGGTAATCTGTCGTTCTCAATTTCATGTGTAAATTTAATGGAAGGAAATCGATTATTTAACTTAGAAATAAAATTATCTATGGTGTCTGAATGTGTGTCAAAAACAGCAAAAATATGCACATACCTAAACCATACTCTTGGAAAATACTCCAACTGATTCTTAGCCTCCACTTCAAACCTGCTCATGAATAAATTAGCCAAAAATGGAGACATTGGATTACCTTCCAGCTGTTCAAAAAAGTTGTTATTAAATTGAAAACAATTTTTTCTACGACTGCTATGTAAAACGTTAAAAAACGCACGCTTAAGTAAATCTGAAAGTGACGTTTTTCACACACCGTGCGCAAATTTTGTAGTGTGCAATTTTTGCGCACGCTTACTCTTAGTGCACACAACATGTGTCAATTTCTAACCTTTTTAACCTCCAATATTGCTCCAATATCTAGGTGAAACGCCAAACGCAACGCAGCCGTCAGAAAAGTGTCATCATTCCCAGATAGCACAAAAGGGACATTTACATTCTAAGAATATTCCTCCTAAGTTCTTATAAGTATATTCTTTTTTTAATAAGTATGGCATATGAATAGTACATTCTACTACGAATGTGATTTAAAGCTATGTTATCAGCATGACCTTAGAATGTCTTCTTAAATTATGGTTTACAATAAATTTTAAGTATCTGCTATTCACGTTCTAAACATATCAATATCTGAATAAAAATACAGGAGAATAAAAATGATTTCGAAATGAAAAAATGAATACAATACATTATATTTGTATATTTTCTTACTATCAGTTACTATTAAATTTTTGTGTATTAAATAATTAGGGATTTTATATATTAGTGTATATAGATGCCCTGTAAACAAATATTCAAGCAAAAATACAGTGTTTCTTATTCTAACAAATAAATAAACCTGTAAAACTGTATAAATAAAAACGATCTTCCATTATGAAATAAAAAGATCGATTATACCAAAAGATAGTTTGATAAAACTCGATAGATTTTAATCGATTTTTTGGGTAAAAAGATCGATCTTCGACTGAAATCGATTCGAATCGTACATCCATAACATAACCTAATAAAAAACAACAAGTGAACTATAAATTAATAGAAGATTATTTTCTTTTATCTATGACTATAAACCACCTATAAACGTAAACGTGCTTCATCCAAACTATTTTAATAATTAAAACACTGAGATAACGTAAAGATAAGTGATGCAAATAATTATTTTAAGGATAGAATCGGTAAAATAGTTCTTGTTATGTTTGTGTTTTCAGTATCTATTTTAAGGTGAGTGAATTTAAAACCATGAGACCTCGAAAAAAATAGGTTATACTAAAAAATATTTTAAAATTCAACCAAAAAAAAAGAGCCAAAATCTTATTAAGTCAATGTTACGCAAATATGACTTCAATATTGTACATTAAACTGGATTCAGACCAAAGTGATTTTTTATTATCCTCTGTACATCATCAAAGTAGTAGTATCTCTGGTAGTATCATTGAAGATTTCTGTTCTGATAAGTGTAGTTCCAGTGCTGAAATTTCTTACAATATAGTATTTATATAGGTATTTATGTAGGCTCTTCTATAACCATTTATTGTATTATTTTTTAAGAGAAAGGTATTTTTTAGAATTATTAGGTTCGAGAATTATCGAGACTTGGTGGTTCGGGAGTAGCAAAAAGTACAAGGAAAATGCTTTATAAGGTTCTGGGCAATGAAATTGCACAAAAATATTCTTGGGATGAGGCCAAACAGAAGAGAAGTTTGAAATCATTGTTAGTGGCCAAAAGCAATTTTAGGTATTTGAACTTAAAGATATTTGGTGTTGCAAAGACTGTAATAACATATATTTTAGACTCCATGAAAGGTCAATTTCAAGAGTCAAAAGAAACCGAAATTATCAATATAATTAAAATATGGCTTGTAAAAACAAAGAAAAGATAAAAAATACCAAGGTAAGTTGTGCAAATTTATTTGAACAGTATAATTCTGCTGATATTATTTCAGAAGGGTAGACAAGAGAATATAGAAACATAGACATAGAAGATAATATCAATGTATATCGTTATATTAAAATATTTTTAATTAATAAACATATATTACTCAAGTTCGTCTTTATCCTTACCTATTATTTTTAACCGTTCTATTTATTAGTTAATTTTTGATTATTACACACCAAATTATTTAATTTCAGCAAATTGTTTGTAGTGTGTTCCAGATATGAATGTACTGTATAGGTATCCTATAGATTTTAAGAGATAAAAAAATTGCTAAATATGAAAAAAATTGTATCTATATCTATAGTTTATAGGATATTGATACAGGGCATCCTTATACAGGACACCCAGTAGATACAGAGTTGAGGGTTGGAATCTTTGGTGTTACAACAGCAAATTAAAACACTAATTCACCACAATATACCAAAACACTTTACTTTTGAACTGGACGCTTGTTTGGTTAATCATCTTAGCGTCATCAGCAGATGATTAAAACTTAAATTTTGACCATCTGCTGATGATGCTAACATGGTTAGCGAAACGCGCGTCCTGTGCAAAAGTAAAGTGTTTTGGTGTATTTGGTAAATTAGTGTTTTATTTTGCCTCTGTAGATAATAAAAAAATATGAAAAACATATGAAAAGCATAAATATAGAATATTAAAAACATGAATATCATATAATTGGAATATTATTTTTAAATACATTCTTTTACGAACATATAATTCACGTTCATAGAATATATCTTGGAATGTGAAACGCACTTCTATATCACTTGAATAGGATGGAACGTAATCTCTGCTATTCATGTGCCATATATGTTCCCAATGAAAAAAAGGAATGTGAATAGAACATTGTTGTTCTCCAAAGTTACTTGCTTCGCATATGAAAAGAACGTAAATGTGCTATCTGGGTTACATCGCAAATTATTCCACAAAACTGGCAAAAACTGAGTCAGTCTGCTGCTAATTTGTAGTCGTAGAAAAAATAGCGTAAAAAACTCGTTCGAAAACTTCTTTGTAAAACTTCTTTGTACACTCAACAAACTGTCGAACTCGTGTGCAAAACGCCGTTTTCGAAACTCGTTGTTTAATATACTATTGTTTCATACATAACGTAGATTGTAGTTTAGTTTAATCATCTGCTGATGATGCTAACATGGTCAGCGAAACGCACGTCTAGTGTAAAAGTAAAAGTGTTTTGGTGTATTGTGGTGATTTAGTGTTTTATTTTACTATAATACTACTATGGAATTTTTCCCGTGAGTTTCTTATTTTTTTAAAAAGTATCGAAATGTGACGATAATTAGGACAGTGACGGTAATTAGGTCAGTTAACATAATGCATATTTTTCCGTTCCTATACTATACTAATATTAAAAAAATTAAAACAGACAATTTGAGCAAAGTTACTTTTGAACCTTTTGGGGTTTAAAAAAAATTTAATATCTACCTGAGTCCTTTTCCATTTTATTTCCTTATTCGGTCGCTATCTAAGAGTCATTCCATCTCCATCCCAATAATTTCCTTTTCCATGTTCTCGCCGCTTCTTTATTAAGTTATTTTCGTATAATTCCGCTTTTTGGAACCATAATATTTGATTTCTCAAAGAGGGGAAGTCGTCTACCCAAGCCGGATGCGGTGGCGTCTAGCGGTTTTAACCCAAAGGAGATTTTTTTCGCTACGTCAAAGTATTTTTTAATTTATTTTAAGTCTCGTTCTTCTTCCACTGTGGATTCTTTTTTTGTATTACAAAAAAGGAATTTCGCCTTTCTGCGTGTTTGCTTCGCCTCTGTATAAGTCTGAAACAAGGAAAATTTATTAATAATTTCCATACCTCCAATCTTTTTATTGTATGTAACAGAAAAAAAGCAAATGAAAGATCAAGTACCTGAAAATAATATGTTAAATATATAACAAGAGAGTTGGCATTTTAAATATGTTGACAATATATATTTATTAATCTTAATAGCTTTCTTTTATATTAAGCTTTCTAGATATATTATTAAGATTTATTTAGAGTTTAAAAATATCAAAACAATGAAAATAAAATCTTCGAGTTTAGTTTAAATTTATTATTAAGTAGATGCCCTTTTAAAACTCATAATTACTCAAAGCCATTTAAAAATTATGCTTTTAAGAAAAAGAATCAAAAGTGTAACAAAAAGAATATTAAAATTAACCGGTCTCAAAATATTTAGAATGGAAATAGTTAATTACTTATTATTACTATTTAGAATGGAAATAGTTACATTATTACATTATTATCAAAAGATAAACATGTTGAGTAGATAGTTATTTGACTGAAATGATAAATTTGGGAACATTTTATTTTTTTAAATTAATCATAAATTTTTCTTCCATTATATGATGATGAGTTTCTGTTGAACTTTTGCCACAAAAACTTTTCAAATTTATGATTTCAGTCTAACAACGTATTGTATTTATTTATGTCATTGTATTATGTATTATTTATGTATTGTATGTTAATGTATTTATGTCACGTTTATGATGACAGGTATTGATACTTTCGATTTCATGTATCGCGAAAACCATTACCTTTAGCGATTTCTACCAAGAGACCCTTCTTACGTAAAAAACGTCGTAAATGTATATTTTTTAACTCAGTAGTTTTATACCCGTACGGACGAAAAGTTATTACTCTTTAAACCAGTTAAAAATTATGTATGTGGCGCCCTCTACAAGTATTAGTCATATAGATATCAAAATCAATCTATCTCATGTCAAAAAACTCCCATATACCAATGTTCATTCAAATATTGACGTTACTTCAGAAATTATTTGGAAAAAAATCGAAATAAAAATGAAATCTTTACACCCTGTATCTCTGAAACTAAGCATTTTAGGACATAAGTTTATACGAACTTTTTTACTTATTTTTATCTGCAGAATATGCTGCCGAAGTTTCCGGAATACAGTTCGGACCACCCTGAATATTAATATTTATACCATATTTATACATATATACTAGCGTGTACCAGCGACTTCGTTCGCGTCAAATTAATCATTTGTAATGGTGATGATAAAGTAAAGCAAGAATTTCCATTAACATACAAATTGGATAAAATTTTCTCACATTTATGTCAGCATGAGAAAAAACAATATGGCGATATTATTATATAACTTAGTAATATTTGAGGGGTAGTTTCATCTCGTTGGAATTTGACTTTCGAAAAATCCGTTTGCCAAAAATAAGCTTTTTACGTCAAGCAGTTTAAGCAGAATTGTGGTTAAGAAATTTCCCAACTTTTTGGAACACTCTGTATGATTTTTTAAAAAAATTCAAAATGTGTAAAAAAGCCAAATAAATTATGCTTGTTCAAGAGTTTTTCCGAAAGACTAACCGTTTTTTAAATAACAAATATTGTAATATTTGAGGGGCGTTTTCACCCTTGGAATTTAAGATTCGAGAAACCCCTCCTTATCGAACCTCAACCCCACAGTCAATCCGTTTGCCAAAAATCAGCTTTAAACGTTAAGCAGTTTAAGCAGAATCGTGATTACTCAATGGTCATATTTTATGAAACACCCTGTATAAATTTTTAAAAAATCTTAAAATATGTAAAACAACAAAATAAAATATACGTGTTTAAGAGTTTTTCCGAAGAACTCACCGGTTTTTAAATAAAAAATATTATAATATTTGAGGGATAGCTTCACCCCCTTAGAATTCGAGTTTCGAAAAATTCCTTCTTATCGAGCCTCTACACCCTAAAGTCAATCTGTTTTCCAAAAATCAGTTTTTTACGTCAAGCGCTTTAAGCAGGATCGTGATTAATCAATTACCAGATTTTTTGAAACACCCTGTATACATTTTTAAAAAATCTTAAAATATGTAAATAAACAAAATAAAATATACGTGTTTAAGCGTTTTTTCGGAAACTTGACCGTTTTTTAAATAAAAAATATTGTAATATATTTAAGGCTGGTTTCACAATCTTGGAACTGGAATTTCGAAAAATCCCTTCTTATCGAACCTCTACACCCTAAAATCAACCTGTATGCCAAAATTCAGCTTCTTACGTTGAGTGGTTTGAGCATGGTTTGAGCAGGATTTTCGTGATTAATCAGTATGTCAGTCACTTAAGGATTTTATATATTAGTATAGATAACGATTGCTCAAAAGAAATGCTCTCAACGAAGTTTATCATCACTTAACTATTTATCATATGCTGTCAGTTACTCATTAAATAAAGAGACATATCTTTTCAAATTATTAGTATGTCTCGTATTAGAAAAGCCAAAAAAATATAGGCTCTTAAAGGAGTTTGAAATTTGTTATTTTGATATTATTTTTGGTGTCACAGTTCAAAACTTGCATGTCTAATATGAAATTATGGTAATTTTTCAATAAATACTCTTGTGCGAGATCTCCTTTCTTTTTATTTTCGGCTCTTAGCCTTTTTCCACATTCTCCGTCATGTTATTTAAAAATATAAGTACATCAATTTTCATTATAATGTGGAGTGAACATGAAAAATTAAATTACTGGGATTATTGGAAAATTGCATAGCTGCATAGCTCAATATAAATTATTATTTTATTAATCTTTTTACTACGTAACATAAAAATCTCAATTTAATAAAAAAAAATGTAAAATTACGTCCCTGGCTTGTATTTTTAGTAATATTTTACACTAAATTATATTACATATTCTGTTCATAACAATATAGCATATTTTATGATTTCAAAACAAGAGCTTTGAAATTTAAAAATATATTAAAAATATACAGGGTGGTCCGAAGTGTATTCCGGAAACTTCTGCATATTCTGCAGAGAAAAATTAAGTAAAAAAATTCGTATAGATGTTTGTCCTAAAACGCTTTGTTTCGGAGATACAGGGTGTAGAAGTTTCATTTTTATTTCAATTTTTTCCAAATAATTTCTGAAGTAACGTCAATATTTGGATAAAAATTGGTGTCTGGTAATTTTTTGACATGAAAAACTTGATTTTGATGTCAATATGACTCCTACTAGTAGAGGGCGCCACCTACATATTTTTTAACTGGTTTGAAGAGTAATAAGTTTTCGTCCGTACCTGTATAAAACTACTGAATAAAAAATATACTTTTACGACGTTTTTTACGTAAAAAAGGTCTCTTGGTCAAAATCGCTACGAGTAATAGTTTTCAAGATATTGGGAATCGAAATTATCAATACCTGTCATCATTGACATAAATTAAACATGTTGACTAAATAGTTATTAGACTGAAATTATAGATTTGAAGGATTTATGTAGGTGGCGCCCTCTACTAGTAGGAGTCATATTGACAACAAAATCAAATTTCTCATGTCAAAAAACTCCCAGACGCCAATTTTCATCCAAATATTGACGTTACTTGAAATGAAAACACCCTGTATCTCTGAGACTAAGCATTTTAGGACATACATTTATACGAACTTTTTTACTTATTTTTATCTGCAGAATGTGCTGCCAAAGTTTCCGGAATACAGTTCGGACCACCCTGTATACAGGCATTAATTCAAATTTTTAGTATGCGAACAAACACGAGAGGCGCTTTATATTTACATTCATTTCTTAACATGACAGACGAAGTTCTAAAGGGGGATGTTTTGTGATTATATCTGATGGAATTCGAATCGTCCAGAGCTTATAGGAAATTATTTTAATCGATTCAAAAGTAACTGTAGTAGATAAATAAATAATTGAATATTATTGAAAGGTTTATATAGACTGACAACAGTCTCGTATTTCGATGCAATGTTTTGAAGGATACTCCAATGGCAAATATGATAAAGAAATTTAAAAAAGAAATATTACATTGAAAACTTCAACGGATCGTAATGGGTTCTGCAACGTGAGCTTCCTCTATCATAAATCAACACGAATAAAACGAATTGTTTGTTCTCTGTATGAGATTTCTCAAACCGATATTCCCTATCTGTACGCTCGATATCCGTCAGGTATCTAGGAAAAGATTTGCTCAGCAACCGACTCATCAGTTGGAAAATCCCTTTTTATATAATTGGATTATGTTGAAATTAAACCAGACGTCGCACCGGCTCACGGTTGAATAGACTAAAAGGAAATATTCTGGATCGTAATTTGGATTTATCTTTTTTGTTGATATTCAAAGTAACGGTGATTTAATATGAAAGAAAATTCCACACCTGTAATTTTTAACCAATCAAAACGTGTTTTTTTGACAAATCGCCATGGCAACGGATAAATTTTAGTGAAATTTTTTTCCTTGTGGGCACCCAAAAGCGAATTATACTGGAAATTTTTTGACGTTTATAATGACAGAATATCTTTTTGAGAGTCTGGTTTTTATATGTTTACATGATAATCAGGGGCGGGAAAGTGAAATAGCAAAAGCGGTTCCACCGTTTCCAATAAAACAAGCCCTACTCAATAGATGGCGCCACTTCTGTAGGACCATTTTTCAGTATGGCAGAGTCCATTCTTTTTCTAGCTAGGTATATTCTTTGATGATAATTTTGATACATTTCAATTACAAAGCTGAGATGTTTTCTATATTCTTTGGACACCTCCTTTCTTCTTAATGGCGAAAAGGTAGGACTTGGACTGGACTGAATGGACTGAATTAAATGCCTATGTCTAATGAAATATATATAATATTTAGAAACTATTTTATTCACCTTTTTTCCATTTAGTATTTTTAATTTTGAGTAGTTTAGGTGCAAATATTCGTGAACAATTCAAAACAAATTTTATTTCTTCAAGTAGGAGCCATAATCCCCTATTAATGCGGGTAAATAAGTCATCGCACGATGATTGATCATTACGTCAGACAAT